TATAAAAGGATCCAGAAAATTTAAAAATAATTTTAAAAGAATGAATTCAAATTCTATGGGCCATCCATTTAAGAATTAATATCCTACATGACTAAAAATCAATTAACGTAGCATAGTTCCTCAACAACCATTTCAAATCATATAATATTAAGGTTACAAAATTAACCACAAAAATTTACTCGACTCAAAATTGAAAGTTTAAGAACTTGTTAAAAATTTTGTAAAATAATAGTTATGATCCAGATTCAAATCTTCGAGGAGTAAAAATTAAAGAAATTGCAATGTGTAGCAAAAATCTTTTAAGTGTTTTAAAACATGTCACATCTTTTTAAAATTTTCAAATGTAGCACAAATTTTCACTTATAAAATACTCATATAACTAGTATATCACATACATATTGCACAAACACTTATATCACTAGCATGTCATATATATATCACATCCATATTGTACATATATCAAACAATCATATCAGTAATATATCAGATATTATCATATATATATAYCAATAATAAGATACATTACAAATATATTATATATTATAGATATATATCATTTGAGTTATCGTGGGCCAAATTTGCTAATACTAAATACTCGTCGGTCATATAGTGGCACCCATTTATCTAGTTAGAAGTCTCCCGAATCCCGATAGACAGGACAAATAATTGACATGAATCACAATGATTTCTTTTTCTTTTTCTTTTTTAGAAGATTACAATGATTTTCTTTTTTCGAAAAATTTATTTTTCTACAATCGAAAGCTGGACGTGACAACATTACCATGAATTTCCACGGCTATTTATTTATAGGGCCCCCCTTTCCATCGCTTATACCGATTTCATTCCATATTCTGATCTCACAGAAGAAAACTAGACACTCTCGATCGTAATCAGGTAACGGAAGTGACAATGGCGACCATCAAAGTTCCGGAGCATGTTCCTTCTCCTGCCGAAGACTGTGAGCAGCTTCGCAAAGCTTTCCAAGGTTTGTAATTCAAATCTAGTTTTTTGTCTCTCATTAGAGTCGAGGTTTGAGGATCCAGGTTTTGTTGCACCTTGATCGATGATGATTATGTTGTGAAGATTTTGTATGTCTGTCTGATCAATTTTTTTGCGCATTTTTTTGGCATGTGATCGCCTAAACGTAAATCGAAATGAAGCTACGTCGATTGAAATTTCTGATCTGCTGGAAATCATTATTGAATTCTTTCTGTTCATCAACTGTCGGCTTGATCTATATTTCTGTTAGATGCTTCAACTTACGGTAGTTAAGTCACTGTCACACAGAATATAGATGTCTTGTGAAATTGTGTAGCAGTAAGTACTCTTTTATTTATGCAATTTGTAGTGTTTAATGGCTCTCCGATCTACGTTTGGTTAACGGGAATTTTCTGGTTATCGTTCCGTTTAATAACTGCTCCGTTGTGACTTATGGTCGATCAACGTGCAGGATGGGGAACGAACGAGGACTTGATAATATCCATTTTGGCTCACAGAAATGCAGCTCAGAGATGTTTAATTCGGAAAACCTACGCTGAAATATATGGTGAAGATCTTCTTAAAGAACTAGACAAAGAACTTTCGAGTGATTTTGAGGCAAGACTTCTGTTTCGTATTTCACCTCTCAAAATTCGCAATCGCTTGGATTGAAAGTCGGTTTTTGTGATAAAGTATTTGTACAGGGCAAGATATTTTTCCAGAATTTATTCACCCCTTTCTGTTTCCATGAATTTTGTTGTGCTTCATACAGCGGATTGTACTTTTGTGGACATTGCAACCTGCAGAACGTGATGCATTTATGGCCAATGAAGCAACAAAGAGGTCAACCTCAAACAATTTGGTCATTGTGGAAATAGCTTGTACTCGACCATTGCTCGAACTATTCAAGGTGAGGCAGGCCTATCATGCCCGTTTCAAGAAATCTCTTGAAGAAGATGTTGCATATCATACATCTGGAGATATCCGCAAGGTATCAGAGTTAATTTTTCACGTACTTGGCTACTAGATTATTTTGAAACATTTAAGCAATTTCAGCAAACATGAGAGAATTCAATGGCTCTTGATAAACTCAGAGAATGAGCCAAGAAAATGCTTGAGGGAAACGAAATTTCCAAAAGCTAATAACTGTGGACCGAGTTTCAATTTCTCTCTGACAATTCTTCAACTTTATTTGTTGAAAGTCGCCCTGACTAAAACTTTCTGCAGCTTTTGGTCCCTCTCGTTAGCTCACTTCGGTACGAGGGAGATGAGGTGAACAAAACCTTAGCGAAATCAGAGGCTAAAGTACTCCATGAGAAGATAGCAGGGAAGGAATACAACCATGAGGAACTCATTAGAATTCTGACGACTAGGAGCAAAGCACAATTACTTGCAACAGTTAACCTCTACAACAACGAGTACGGTAATCCCATCAATAAGGTAAATATGTACGCATCTGATCTGCCATAAGCGCAACTATTTCAGGGTTTGAGTATTAGTTTTGAATTCTATCCTTTGCTTTCATGTAGAAGCTCTTCATTTCCTTAAGACTACTTTTTAAATATGTACATCACCAGAAGGAAGAACAAAGACTTCTCATAAAATTTGAATCAATAACATTACCCCCGGCCCCAACTAAAAATGCCATGGGGAAATAGTCCATTAAATACAATTCTCCCATCCGGGTAGCATCAGTTCATTGCAACTGATGAATAAATTCAAAACTTAATGAACTATACATGTCAAACAATGAGTGTTTAAATCACTCACACACTGCATAATCCATCTAACTAATAATTAGCAAATTTTATTTATACTAGATTCGACTTGTAACTTTGGAAGGGCCTATTTTCAGGATTTGAAGGCCGACCCCAATGACGAGTACCTGAAGTTACTGAGAACAACCATCAAGTGTTTGACCTTTCCAGAAAGACATTTCGCAAAAGTCCTTCGGTTGGCCATTGACAAGATGGGGACAGATGAGTGGGCTCTTGCTAGAGTGATTTCTTCTCGAGCTGAAACCGATTTGGAGCGCATCAAAGAAGAATACTATCGCAGGAACAGCATTCCTCTGGATCGTGCCATTGCCAAAGACACTTCTGGGGACTTCGAGAAAATGGCTCTGGAGTTGATTGGACATGGTGATGCCTGAGTTCCTCTTGTTCAGGAAAGTTACTTTGCTTTGTTTATCTGTTTGTTTGCTTGAACTTCGAACATGGAGAACCAAATGCTTTGCTTTTTACACAGTGGGATCTGCCCGTGAGAAAGCTACATAACTGGTTTGTCTTCATCTTCATGTCTTTTCCTGTGTAATCTGTTGGATTTCCTACATGTATCTGTTTCCAAAGGCATAGAATAAGTAAGATTTTCTTTCCTACAGATTCTTTGTCGTTTCTGGAGAAGACAAAATGATCAAAGGTGAGGTGAAATTCCATTTTCACCTTCACTAATGATAACATTAACTTGAAAAGTAAGGATTATATGAAATTTGCTCTCTTAAGAGATGAATATCATCTGAAAATTTTGATCTTCATAGATAAAATTTGAAAACAAGATTCACTACTAAAATAAATTGCTTAGTAACACCTTGAAATATGCAATCTTTTGCCTTGAAAATAAACTATATAAATGCATCATGGAAGAGAGGGAAAATAGTTTTTTCTTCAGAAAAATGAATTGTTTGTTAATTATAATAATTATTATTATTTTGCAGTTGGTATGAAGATACATAACTGACCGATAAACGCACTCAACTTGTCGGAGCCCCCTTTGAAACAGTAGACCCTGACTTTCACTTTTTCCTCAAAACGTTGTTTTTGTTTGAATTCATTTTTCCTTTTTCACTTTTGTCTTTAAAACTTTGTTTTTACATTTATCATTATTTTTCTAGTTCAACAAATGTAATATGAAACTAGGAGATCGTCTTTAACCTTGTAAAGTAATAAATTTCTCAACCATTAAACTAAGTAGTATTTTTATTATTTTTTATTTTTTGCTAATGGAGAATTGAGATGATTCCAAGAATTGTCCAATTTACCATAAGAAAGTGGATTATCTAACTCATCACAAGAATTTTTATTTGTACAAGGAACATTTGGATTTCAAACTTGCTATCCAAACGTGCTTGGTGGTGCCAAATTAGCTTCCATGCCACACTTCATAGTTCATTCTAGTCTATGAACTTTGCACAAAAATTCATTTTAGTTCTTATAGTTAATCTTTAATAAATTACTGTATAAAATCTTCAAATAGGCATGATTTTTTTCTTGTTTACTTGACAAGTAGATATTTACACAAATAAGCATTTGAGGTCATAGAAATAAATTAGTTGTATTTTGAAACAAGTACAAATATTTGTTGAAGAATTAATAAACTATTAATGATAATGATGAAAATAGTTTATTAGGAGAAATTTAAAGATTAAAATAAAATACACGATTAAAATGAATCACCGGGATCTGGAAACCTTATTTCTTATCTTCCAAGATTTATGATTGAAGTTTGGTTGCTAGTGCTAGGTGGCTGTCACCACTCAATCAACCTTGTAATTATGGAAAATTGAAAAGATACCTGCTGAATATGGAGCTATAATTGACTTGTGGAAAATTTCATTCTCGTTTGTCATAGCAGCAGCACCCATTAAATTCAAATAATATCAATTAAATTCAAATAATTAAGATGTGTCAAATTAGAATAGATATTAATGAAAAAAAATAAATAATATATCACTTAATGGCATATCAAATTTGGATAGATATTATGTCACTACTAAAAGGTTTTAGTTAAATAGTAGAACTATTAGGTAAATATTTTATTTGAGGCTGTCAGTTTCCTTTTACCATTGGTTAGTTCTAATGTTGTTAGTGCATGTTGTTAGTTCTAATGTTATTATTATCAATTCTTGTGCATTCAGATTTCATCTTCAATGCAGTGAGAAAAGAATTCAAATTTTAAACGCCCAAACACAATACGTGCTTAGAACCTCCGTTCCCGTATTTTTGAGAGAAATGTCGGAATAAGTAATCTTGCAAAAATTAATTTAAATATAATTAATTTTTTAAAATAACAGTGATCCTTAAAAATCAATTTAAAATGATTTTCAATTTTCTTAAAATCAATTTTTTTTTAATTTGTCAAACATAATCAATAGAAAGAGAAGTGATTTTGACAATGACAAAAGTAATTTTGACCATGTTAAAATCACTCACAAACACGTTCTCAATCTGAATAAGGGAAAAAGTGGGACGGGTCCATTGAAATAGGACAACATCTTGCAAGAGCTTTTTACTATTGCTATTTATATCACATATTCAAAGGAAAACGCAAACCCAGGTATTACATTCTCATTTTGCATGTCAATATTTTTCGTCAATATTTTTATGTACATAAATTCAACGACATCAACATGAGAGATAAATTAACATTTTCATAGTATTAGAAAAAATCTGACATTTTCATTTTAAATATTAATTATAATTTTTTAAAAAGAATATCAATCGATATTTAAGACTTTGATATGATCTCCAACTACACTGGGCCTCTCCTCACTAGGCATTTATGCATAACTCTCTGCTGTCCTATCTAGGGGTCACGAGAATCATTGGCCAGTCGCTGGAAAAAACTTGAAATATATCATCATTTCCCCCTTTTATTCAGTGGGGACATAAAAATATGAAAATCAATCCAATCTTACAAACTATTTGAATTAAATGATAAATCCTGTACAAATAATTTCTCTATCCTACAGGATTATGACCTGCTTGTGTGCTCAGAAGTCGGATCTTATTACCTTCTATTGTAACAGTTCAGTGCAACATATCAATAAATGGCTTCTTCCCTTCTCATCTCCTGAGCTATATGATACACCATTTGTATGTATATTATTTATAGAGGATCCTTTTTTTCCCAAAAAAAGGAAAAAAAAGTGGAGAACCATTTTTTCTCATGATGGTCCCCATAAAAAGGCTATCATAACGAAATAATCTGTAGTGAATTCAGTTGGACGATTGTGCATACCTTACTGCTCAATGGAACGAAGTTCCCAGTTGCCTTCTCCATCAATAAGTCGTAACTCTAATGAATGGAATGGTATTAGAGCAGGTCTCTGAAAGAAATATGAAAAGGAAACAGTGAGGGGAACTCTCATAATATCTCTTGGGGGCTAAAAATCACACTAAAATCTTCTCGAACAAACTCGATAGCCTAGTAGATCACAAAAGGAGATGAACTTGAGTAGAACATTCAGTTACTATCTGTATTCATGGTGCATCACATCCAAATTACATCATGTGATAAATTTATAATACACATGAAAGAGCACCAACCTGTGATGAAGTAACCACTGTTATGCCCATGCTCTTTGCAACCTTGTATAGGTGTTCTTCAACGTCTACACTTGTAGCACTGGTTAAAAAAAAAAAGATGTAATTAGTTATGATCATGTGACCTAATACATATGTAGACTTGGTAAGGGAGAAATTTGAAGTTGGCGGACATACTTGGTGCACTCATCAAGGATGCCAAACTTTGGCTTGTGGAAAAACAATCGTGCCTTTCAATAAAACATAAGATAAATTTAATTAAGACATCTGTATGCAAAGTTCTTAAAAGTTAATGTTAGATCTGACAGATGAAACAAATTGAGGATCACTCACCATTCCTAACCTCTGCTGCTCCCCAAGGGAAAGAATGTCTTCCCAATTCAAATTTGTATCCCAACCACCTTCCTCTCTTTCCAAAAGATAATTTAATCGAACATGCTGTAAAATAGTTCCCAAATGCGCATCCAGAACATTCATGGCACCCACGGATGTTTCACCTGAATGAGTATGGTACATGATTGAGATTTAATGGAATGGAATCAGAAAAACGTAAGATTTTGAACTACATCTTGAGCTGAGCAACAGGTAGATCATAATTGAAAAGAACAAGCATATTTCTGAACGTTAAAGTACAACTCTTTTCCAGAATGGGTTTTAGGCACTCTTAACAAGGGTTTTCTACATTGCGAACACACTTCATTCATATTTAGCAATTAACATCCATTTCAGAGCCATCAGTCAAAATGTACCTAATATCCTGAAATAGTTTTTTAACACAGTCAAGCAGTTCAGAACACACAAGATACATCTTACACTTACACGTGCACTTGTGAACATTTGTCTTGGACATCTGAACCCATACAATGCTAAATCATTTATTAAATTATTCACTATTTTTTTTTCTTTTCTATTTGAAAAGGTTAAAAAAATCTTATCTATTAAAAAAAAAAAGTGTCAAACAACAAAAAGAAATATAGGAGTCAAGAGTAATAAATTTTGAGAGTGAAAAGTTCAAGACCTGTTCTTTTGAAGCATATGACTGTCTTAAACTAATTGATTTTAAATTTCTTTTTTTTTTTACAATTACAGAATCATTTACAAAAATGTTTAGTTAATTTTGGATTTCTTATTCTCGAATATTTTTCTTATTGAATCATATTAGAAATATTGTGTTCAGTTTCTTATACTTCTTGAAATATGAGATATTTCATTACTTCTTTTACATATTTTCATTCAAATGTCAGAATTAAAACAAATATTTACTATGAAAATTTTAAAAGTAAATACATTTAAAAAATTTAAAATTTAATAAACATGCCATGTCTGTGTCCTAACTTATAAAAATTATCATACTTGTACCATATTGTGTCTCTGTTGGTCCACGTTTTACAGGCTCTCTATTTGGCATAAATAAATAAAAAATTTACAATATAATTTTTGGCTACAAACATCAAGTAGAGACAACAAACTTAATCACATATCAAATCTCTTGCTCGCTTCTCCTTATCCTCAAAACTTCTATTCTCTTCCTTTCAAGTTTTCCACATAACAGAAAAAGATTATGAAAGAGTCTATGTCCAGACGAATGTTGAGATTCTTAATGCGATAATTATTTAATAGTGAGTCTGGCTCTCTTACATCTTCAGATAATTAAACGTGCTACAATGCTTCAGCAAAATACCAATTGGTACCATACTAATTCTCCTTATATTTCCCTTTAAAATTACTGATTTAAAAAAGATCTGAAACTTTATTCATATGTCCATCAAGTATCTAACACATCTAACGTGTCTGACACATGCCTTATAAATGTTGAATGCAAACAGTTAACCAAGCAAAATATTTTGCTTCATAAATGTGCGTGTACTGGAGAATTGCCATATGATATACTAATACACCGTAAACTAATACTACAAAACTTGAACCATTCAAAAAGCAGAGTGGAAATTAGTAAGAAATTTACCTTCAGCACACAGTTTTGATGACTTCATCTCTGCTTCTTCACGAGAAAGGGGATATATTATTTGATCTCTCAGTGTTCCAAGACACGTATAGGGGCGCTGAGGAACATAAAAAATACCACGACCCCATTGATCTTCCTTGATATTTTGTGATGGTTTGGTGAGTTTCCCACTTGCAATTGGCCAAAGACCTCTGAGAACTCTGAAAATTGAGCTTTTCCCACTCCCATTTGGACCTTAAAATTTTCAAAACGTTGTGAGACAAAGATAAAAAATTAAGAATATTAATAAAATTAATAATAAATAAATAATTTTACTAACCAGTAACCAGCAGGCTCTTCTCCTGTAAAATGTCACAAGTCAGCTTCTTTGCTAACATCTTCTGTGTTGGTGTAATGATATCTACCTTGGAGAAGGAAATAACATCTTCTGAGTGAAAGTCCCTCTTATTGATCGCCGATGTACTAGTAACTGCAATTTTTCCAGTGGTAAATACATACACTACAATTTTAATTCTCACGAGTGGAAGTAGCAATACCCAGTTTTTGATTGATAAGAGTTCTAACTACACATAAAATCATATTCCACCAGCGTGTTTTTCAAAACCAAAATATAGCATATAAACAAAAAATAAAATAAAAAATTTGGATTTTTTTTTTTTAAATTTTGAACC